TTTTGAGAAATTTCAAAAAAACTTTTCAAAAATCATTTTAGCAGGCAAATTTGCCCGCTAGACGGTTTAAGGGATAAAATATTTACAACTATTTAAAAATATATGTAAAAATTTTTAAATTAAATAAATTTTTAATTTTTTATAAATAAAAATCTAAAATTTAACCTAAAATTTAGGCTAATTTTATTAAATCTCAAGTTTAATTTTAATCTTTTTTAATTTTTTAAAAATTTAAATATTAATTATATTTTATATTTAAATTTTTATATTTTTTTAATCAATTTTTTAAAAATTTCTATATTTGGTAAAAAGGTGTCATAATTTTCCTACTGTATCTCAAAAACTTTATTAATAACTTTTATTCAAACAAATGATATATGGGACCCCCACAGCAAAAGGAGGGGATGGGCAAAAAAATATTTTTAAAAAAATCAATTTCTTGAATTGGATTAATTAGAACAAAATTATCATAAAATTAAAATTTTAATTTTTTGGTCCATCCCCTCCTTTTGCTATGGGTACCATATATTCTTATAGCAATGTATACTATATTTGCAAAATATTAAGATTATTTGTTTTTTTAGGCTTGGGATTTGTCTGGGTTTTGCCGGCAAGTATAAACTAGTGAGGTTCCAGAATCAGAGCTTTCTAATTCACTGTAAATTACATTGTTAAATTTATCATTTGAAATGAACTCGACAGTTAAGTCTGATAGCTTTTCAAGTTTATCTAATGTCGCGGCTGATGCTGAAATTTGGGGTCTCGATTTGAAACTATAAGCTCTGCTAAAATCCACATATACTCTTTCAATATCAAATATAGCCCTAAATCCTAACCTAACCATAAAAAAAAATCGTACAAAAAACATCCCAAAAAAATTTTAAATTTTCATAATAAAATAGATTCAAATTTCAGCATCAGCCGCGACATCTAATACTAAATTCAAAGGAGAACGCATAGCTGGATCCGAAAGAATGTATTGCGGGTCTATATACGCTAGCATACCCCCGTTTCATTAGAACTTGTTGCAAGGGAATCAGCATGCAAAGATTTAGAACTTGAATATATATCCAATAGTTTCGTTATCAGATTCTTCAAACTAGTTTCAAAATTTGTTTATGATTATCGTCTAACTAGTTTATGTGGTCAAATTAGTTCGGAACACAAACTGCTTAATTTAACAAGTTTAACATCCCTAGTGCATGCTTTTATTTTTTTTGGCGTAGTTAAACATGCAGGAATTTCTTCAGAACTTCGTAATCGCTTTACCCGGCCTGCTTGCTTGAAAATATCCTCGCTTTTCTTTTTCTGTTGTACAATTTTCATTGTTTCTCGCACAATTATCTAATAACATTAAAAGATCAATTATTATGTAGTCATTAAATAAAAATGGAAAATTAATATAGAAACCTTAGCATTCAATATTGCAGCAAGAATAACCAATAATGCTGAAAGATTCTCCTCATTATCCGGGACCTCCATTATATCCCCACGCCGGATTCTACACACATATCCATGTGGATTGTCCATATACACGACCACCATCATTAATCCTATTAAGATTTGGGATGATAAATATACAATTTGTTAATCTAAAGAAACAAGCAGAAAAGCTATATACCTGAATGCATTATTCCTATAGTTTGAAGCTTAGAACGTAATTCCTTATCCCAATTAACTTTTCGGATGAGTTTAACCAACATATCCTTTAGGGCTTTAGGCTGTTTCAGAGACTTTTCCCTCAAAAACTTCGTCCCAAATTCATCTTCCCATTTTTTTCCAACTTCACCCATGCCATATTCATCGTGGTCACCATTACCGCTCATTCTTAGTATCCAATCTCCTCTACGTCCCATTTGGCGCCTCTGTGTTGTTATCCTTTTTGAATTTTTTCTGGTAGCTGTTGCAACACATGCACTTTCTCCTCTATACAATGCAGACCAAAAGAAAATTATACAGAAATACCGTAATACAGCAATTTTTTTTAATAAAAGTAAATCAAGATCAATCTGTTACCGAACAACTGATAATCCCTTGATGTCTCCAAAGCCATGGTCAACGATCGCACTCCAAACATGACAATTGTACCATGATTCTAAATTTGGTTGTTTTAATCCACCGTTTTCAATTTCTCTGGTCCTATTTAAAGAATATATACAATAGAAATTAGCATACAAATTTCTAATGCCTAAAATAAAGTTGTCAATTAATACGCTAGTACAGTTTTAATATTAACACCGCTAGTGCATAGTAATTATTATACATTAATAATATAAAGTAAATCAATTTGCTAAACCCTGGTCTAAAAAATAAATACTTATATTGTATAAAGTACAAAACGAATATAATCTAGGTCATGATGTTTTGATGAATCATAGTTTGCATTAAGCCTATCATCTTGCTCACCAATTATAGAGCGCACTTCGTTCGCACTCGTCTACCAGAAAAGTTAATATACTGTAAGTATTATCCTGTATAAATTGGTGCTACTTATAAATAACTAACATATAACATACTACGTTTATAAACTTGTTTAAATAATCAATTACATCCTGTGAAAGATCTGGAGCCTTTGGAACATGCTCATTATCTATCTCTTCTAACTCATATTCTCTGAAATGTTGTTTGATTATTTCATCCTCTGTATCGATTATAAAGGAATGAACAGAGCTAATATTTACAATAAATTAATATATATAAGATACAATGTTGTTATATTATTCAAACTTACTGTTCGAATTCTAGTTTTTTTCCAAGATTATATAACTCTTCTTCCACGAATTTCCCGCTTGACAATTTCCACATTGCATCCTTCTTCATCTTCATATAAGCATTTTCAATCTCCATTCTGCTTTCATCGCTTATCTTGAATGGCCCCAAATTTATAAATTAATGAAAAAACTGATTATTCTCCTAAATAACCGTGATGCATTGATAAAACAAGATAACTTTTATCATAATATTTTGACAAATATGATAAATATATAAATACAGTATGCTTATCATATTTTACTAAAATATTAAGCAATCTTTTTTACCAGCGATAGATACTATATCTCACCTTTCCTTTCTTCTTATTAACATTATCTTGGACTTCCTCCTTTTTCTCCTTATTAACATTATCTTGGACTTCGGCATCGTACATTATATCAAAATTTTCGGATTCAGATTCCTAAAACAGAAATTCAAAAATTTTAACTATTGAACCATCCACATAACAAAAAAAAAACAAAACAAAACAAAAAAAAAAAAAACCACTACATCTTCCAATTCTTGGGAAAAATTTTGTGTATCAATTGATGAAATGGAGGGCTTATATTTGAGGGGTGCGGTTCTAATCTGTAATTCGAAAAATTAGAAAACGGACTATACACGTGCGCATTAAACCCATAATAAGGCCATGCAAAATTAATTTAATTGGTTTTCATAACCTGGATGGTCTATTTAAAAGTTTTCTGTTATGAAAACCAAGATTTGTTGACCTAATTGACCTTATCTTCCGGCGTACGTGGCCGTTCCAAGACGGCCTTTTCAGCTTGATCTTTTCCTACTACATTATTTGTAGAAATTTTT